TCCATCAGATCGGTCTTTTCGTTGCATTGGCTAGAGAATGCACTTCTACAACATTAACTTGAAGGCATAATCAATATACACTATAATAACTTCAAGCAAGGAAATACAGGAGTCCCATACAAGCTATGCCAACTGTGAAACTCTAAACCATGAAGCAATAGAACCAACAATCAGCACAACATCTGAGCAGTAGCCAATACAGGAGTTCAAAAGTATTATCATACACACATAGACAATTACAAATCATCAATATCCTTTATATTAACTTCAAGGAAATAAAAATCTCAGCCTAATATGCTGCTTCATGCTTCTTCAGAGCTCTTCTTACTCAATTTGCAGTTCCCTTTCTGGTGCAGCTTTTCCATGTGATAACGACAAACACATACACCCGATCATATGTCCGGTCAACCAGGCGGAAATAAGCAATCCTCCATGCTCTCTTAAACAACAAGATGCAGAACACCACCCAGAGACCTAGAATAAATCCTAGAGCGAGTCCAAAATAAAAGGTCATTGGGTCAAAGGAATGTTCATTCCTTTTTTGATCCTCTTGCCTTGTTACATTCTTTCCTGGGCAACTATTTCAAAGAGGAGGGCCACAAAGACCACTGTTGCCACTATACATGGATGGTTCCTCTGTGTAGAGGGTGTCAAGCTGACGACCTGATGTTATTCTCCCTGTTAGATTGTTATCAGACAAGTCCATGTAGCTCAAATAGTTTAAATCTGACAGGCTTGGAGGGATTCCACCAGAAAGCATGTTCCTTGAGAGGTCAAGTGATTCCAGAGCATGCAAGGCCCCAAGCTTATTTGGTATTTTCCCACTCAATTGGTTCCATGATAGATTCAAGTTTATCAACCCATCAAGAGCAGCTATTTCTTCTGGTATTCTCCCAGTTAATTGGTTGAAAGATAGGTCAATGCTCACCAAATCCCAAATGCCAATACCATAGTCAAGTTGATGTCCCTTGATGACCACAGAGGAAAAATTATATGTACGGATCACAGTCGAGTAATCACCATAATTTGAGTCAACCTTATAATCCTTTACATACTTTCTTGTCATGGCCGTCACATTTGACAGATGCCACGGTATGGCACCTGATAAGCCATTGCCTGCTAGGTTCAGATGGTGAAGACGACTAAGATTTGAGATGGTGGCGGTGATTTCTCCAAAAAACATATTCTGGCTTAGACGTAGAAATCGTAATTCAACCAGATCTCTAATCCACAATGGCAACCTTCCGGAAAAACTATTATGTGATAGATCTAGAGACGTCAATTGTCTACAATTTTTTAGAAACGATGGGAAGTTGCCAGAGAATCTATTGTTACTCAACATGAGAAAGGAAATAATGTTCTTCACCCCTAAACAGTGAGGAAGTTGTCCCTCAAAAAGATTGTTGTTTAAGTCCAAGGCATACAAGCCTTCCGCTTTACAGAGAGATTGGGGAATATGACCAGTTATTTGATTGGAGAGCAGCACTAATGAAATCAAATTTGGAGTCCCAATGTTTGATGGCAAATTTCCAGATAAAGAGTTTTCAGACATGTCCAGCACGGTAATATCTCTTGGTAAGTTCGGGATTTCACCAGTTAGTTTATTTGAACTGATATAGAACTCACTCAATGACATGAATTCCATGTTTCTTGGCAAGCTACCGCTGATTTTGTTGTTGGAGATGTCCAGATGTGTGGCCTTTGCAAATGTAGTGATGAACCAGTCAGGAAGTTTATCAACTATACCTGTGCTTGATATATCCATCCAGCGAATGTCCTCTTGGAACTGAAACCATGCTGGAAACGAAGGGCGGTATCCAATCGGTACCAACTGTAATCCTCAATGAATTCCCACTTAAACCCAAATCCTTTAACCTAGTTAGACTTGTAAAATGTTCTTCAGTGAAGTCACCACTCAAGTTGTTGCCTCCGAGATCCATCATGGTTAAATTGCCAAGCATACCAATCTCAGATGGCACAGGTCCACTGAGATAGTTGGAAGAGAGATCAAGGCTGCTTAAACTAGAGAGGAGCCCCACCCCTCGTGGTATGCCTCCACTTAGGTTGTTCCCAGAGATGTCAAGAACGACTAGGCTGCTCAAGTGTGCTGTCCGATTCGGCATGATTCCACTGATATTGTTGTAGCCCAAATGCAACTCCTGCAGTTTCTTCAAGGGACACTGGGGCATCCTCCCTACAATATCCTTTATATTTCCAACAATTTGACAGGCAGAAAGGTCCAGGATTCTCATATTGCATAGGTTTCTGAAGCTTGTAGTCATCATCACCATGTTAATAGATGACAAATCAAGGACTTGGAGGGACGTCATATGTGCCAGTGCATCAGAAGCTTGACCATATAGTTGAGTTTCAGCAAGGTAGAGATGCTGGAGGCCCGTCAAATTCCAAAACCAACTCCTTGCCATTGGGTGGGCAAAGATGTTGCCGGAGAGATCAAGCCTCTCGAGTTTGGTAGGGTTAATATGTGGTAGTGATTGGTTTGCGGTTGGAAGAGAGCAAAACCCAAGATTGAGGGCCCTCAAGGAAGGAATCATATTAACAACATAAGGCCAGTCAACTATTGTGCTTAGGTTTACCGAACTCATTCCAAGGTACTGCAAGTTAGGGATGCGTGCCGCCCATGAAATGTCTCTTGAGTGCATACTACATGTGTAAATTTGGCATGAGAGGTCAAGATGCTGCAGGTTTGAGAGGTTGCCGAGCTGAGGGGGCACTCTGCCAGAAAATGATATGCCGGTGTTGACGCTCAAAAGTGGCACGATTATAAAGAGTGGCTTGAAGTTGTGTCAAGATTAATTCAAACTTACTATTGAAAGTCACCATGAGATGGCTCTCTTCAAGAAGATCAAGATGAATATGAAGATGGTCTAAAACGAAGCTCGGATGCAAAAGTTATGACAAGTTCAGAGATGCTCATGTCGACACCAGATTAAAGAATGGATAGAAACCCCATTAAGATGGCCTCAAATTGATAAAGTTTCAACATGAAAGTTGTGCGTCTCGTCGAAGCGATCGATTTTGATATAAAGATCGTCCCAATCCGAGGTCGTATGCAAAAGTTAGAGCAATCAGAGTGCAGCCCTATCACGAGGCGAGATGTGGCGCGCCCCACCAGACACATGTCTGGCGGGTAGCGCGAGGAGATAGCCTGTGTTGCGAGACAGATTTGACGCTCAAGATGATCTCTGATCAAAAACCCTTCAACATGAAAGTTGTTCGTCTCGTCGAAACAGTCAAGATTGCTTTTGGGCTTGTGTTCATCCGAGATCGTTTACCACCGCAAAAAGGACCCGCAAGGTGCAGCCAGTTTAAACCGAACAGTTTTGGGAAGTTCGGATAAAACCAGTCCGAATTTGACTAGGGTTTTGGACGTGAATTGATGTAATTTTCTTGTAAGGAAAGCCTAGATAAACCCTTTGCTTGTACGGGAAGTCCAGCCGCCTCTTATATATGTTGGGGGTGACGGCCGATTGAAACAACACACAATCGCAAAACACATCTACTTTTTACCCTAGTTTTACATCCATCCCTTGTTCTTTCTCTCTCTTTCTTCGCTCGTTCTTCGTGTTGAAGGGCAGCGATCCTCGAGGCTCTAGGGGCGGGCAAACCGACCTAGGGCAGCCCATAGCCGCCGCACGTCCAGACGGGGTCCCTCCCGGGCGCGTGGGGTTTCGGGTCCTGAAAAGCACCCGCCGGATTGCTTGCGTACCGCGCTTCCGGACAGGTCTCCTTCGACGTGAGCTGCGGTGCATCACCCTCGGCGTTGGAGATACACGGTGACGTGTTCGTGTGCGAACACACTTTTTGGCGACTCCGCTGGGGATCAAAGCTTTGAACGGTCTCCAGCCCGTTCTTGCTACGAAGAGATCGTCATCAATTTGCTGCAATCTACAAAGGTAATATGAATACCCAATTCCCCTTTGTAGATGCAAATAATCCATAAGTTGTTGCTGGATCACCTAATGAGCATAATGTATCGGCTAGCCCTAGTTTTATCAATTATGCATCTAATTATGCGCAAGGGCCGATGCAAAATAATCTTCTTGCTTCAAATTCTTATGATTTTAGCAACATACAACATATGTATCGAAACTCTCATGCATCGGCAACCCCACAAATCCATATGCCGATAAACAACATGATGGGTTTGGTTAATCAATTTGAAACACCTCATGTTAAAATTTCCAATAGCATACAAGAAAGTGTTTCACCTTTTTATTTATCGGCAACTAATTTGCAATATGTGAATCCAACCTTGCCGATGGATGGGAGAATTGGCCATGCTACTACTAGCTATTCGGCCAGTTACTCTCAACCATCATATGCTACACCTCATGTTAGTAATTTTTCGGCACCATACACAACTGTAGATGCTCATAATTTGGCTTCACACCTTTCTGGTCATAGCCGAATAAATGTAAATTTTACAGGAGCGGTTGTGCCAAATATTGTAGAAGATGAGGTAGTGGTGGCTACATTGAAGAGTTTAGCCCAAAATAAGAGGATTAGTGCTCTTTGCCTTGAACAACATGAAAAGGGGCTATTTCCTGATTATGCCGCAATAAAAGCTAGAGTTTTGCAAGAAGATGAATCTTTGCCAATTGATAAAATTCGCGAGCAAAAATATGGTTTTACAACCATGCATATGCCTTCACCTAGTACTACATCATATTATACACCCCCTACACTATTGCAAAATTTCGGCAACACCCGTGTGTCATTGTCGAAAGAATCTAAAGCCATTGGGGGGCAATCATATCTAGAGTGGGCTGAAATTGAGAAAAAACTTCAAGCCAACTTTGCCGCCCGCCGCCAGAAACAAATAGAAAAAGAATTGGCTCAGATAAAAGAAGCATTGCCAATTGGTAGTATCAATGAAAAGAAGGATGATTCGGAACTTGAAAGTGCTTCGGTTGAAAAAGCCGAATCAAGTAGTATATATTACGAATCCATCAAATCCAAAGAGGCAAGGATTATTAAGAAAGGGCATGACAAGCATAGAAAAACAACCATGTTTGATTTTTCTAAAGTTAATGGAACCTACTTCCTGCCCTATGAGTTTCGTGCCATAGAAATTGACAAGCTTCAAGGACAAGAGCAAGTAGCCGAACAAAGTTCGGTTGACGGAGATATTCAAATTTATGATGCACGAAATCAAGAAGAAAATTGTGACATGGTGTTGGGAAGTCATCCAGAAGCAAAGCACAATATTATTCATCATATGCAATCATCATGCTCTCCCAACATATTTAAAGAGGTATGTCTAGCAAGTAATTTACCTATTTTCAGATTTGGCCACAACTTTATTGTTGATGCATCTATTAGAAAAATTCTAATAAGTAATTTTCAAAGACCAATGAAGAAGGGCAATTTACTTGTTAGCAATAAAATTGTTACTAAGCATATCGGCCAATATATTGTACCATTCAAAGAGACCGATAGTGACTTATTACTGCAGCGAAAGCTTTTCCCATTGCTTTATTTAAAGTTCATATCTAATTGGGTAGCTTTGATTGCTTCATGCTTGGCTTACGCATGGTCTCAGTTGAGACGTGTATGTTCTAACTACTTTGATTTCAGAAATTTAAAGCTAAGGTTAAAATCTTTTGGGAAAACCGATGCTAGTATAGTTTCTTATTTAAGGACATCAGAAAAAGTATGCGAAAGAGAATTCATAGCCGAATGGGAAGATGCAAAATCTGAACCATTCGTTTGCTTAACTCCAAAGCCGTTCTCACAACAAGATCGGCTAGAAAACAAAAGGTATACCTTCGATTCAAACATGTGTGATCAAATCTTTGATTTGTTGTTGAAAAATAATTACATTAGAATTCTTGATCACCATGTCAAGCCATCTATCCAAGGACGAATGTATTGTAAGTTGCATGATTCGTCCAAGCATAATTTTGAGGACTGCCACATGTTTCGTCAAATAGTTCAATCGGCCATTGATAAAGGACGATTGAAATTTGTTGAGACACCAAGAGATGACCAATCTATTCCGATTGGTCCCGATGGTAGAAAGTTTTTGCATCGGCTGCTTCAAGCCGATCCATTTAAAGAGAAGGTAAAAAACTGTAGGTGATGGGATCAAGCTTTCAAGTAAAGAAGTTGTTGAAGAGCATAATGAACATAATCTTGAGGGCGAAAATTCCATCGAAGCTACAATGGAGACGCAAAGGACTGGGGGCCAGCAAGCAAATCCAATGATCAATGAAAGCAAACCGAAAGAAAACAAAGGCCGAAATAAGCTCAAGTGTAAGAGATCGAAAATCACCTTCACTGAACTATTGGATAAATATCGAAAGAAGAGTGAAGAGAAGAATGCTTATCGGCCAAATCATGCAAAGAAACCAAGATCACCCCCAAGGCGCAAATATGAGGATTGGTATTGGCAAAGTGAGAATTTTAATGCAACATATTCGTATCCTTATTTTGGGTCACCAATGCCAATGTCGTGGATGCCTCCCTATGCTCATATAGATTCATATCCATCATGGGACAGGTATGATACAAGGGCACATTCTCCATCTTATTTTAGACCATCTCACCAATATTATGCAGCTCCGAGAAGATCAATATCTGAACAATCACATGTTAAAGACCGTTTCAATCATAAGGAATCGGTCCAGAGCTCAAGGATGAAGAAAGAGGTGTTCAAGCAAGTTTATCGTGTTAAAAGAGATGGTCGTAAGAGTGCAACTTCAGATTTGATCTCAAATGAAAAAGAGCCAATTAAAGCGTTGACATTGGCTACGAAAGGCAATGAGACGAAGCAACCAATTATTGAAAGTCAATCAAGTGCCAAATCTGAAGAGAAGAAGTTGAGAGTGCACAAGGCCAAAAAGGAATTGCCATTGGTCAAAACAGAATCACAGCCGAGATGTCTGCTCGGCTTACCGTATTGGCAAAAGAAGAAATTACAAAAGCTTAGTGCACAAGAACTTGCAGAAAGGAACATGGCATGGGTTCCCAAAGGAAGTGCTCAAAATAAGAATTATGTGCAAACTTCCATTACAAGAAGTGCAACAAAGGTGAAGAAGGAAAAGAGTGAAAACTATGAAGGACCAAGCCGAAGGTTTCAACATCATTGGTCTACACATTATCCATATTCTTCAACTATGCCATTAATGCCTATGCCATGGAATTTGTCATCAGGTATGATTGGTAACCCTCAATGGGCTTATTTTAATCCATGGATGCAATATAATTTCTTATGTCATGAAAGGGTATTACCAAGTCACTGTACATTTGATTAGCTACAAGTTTGTTGATGATCTAAAGGGCCGAAATACTTGATTTTTCATTTCATTTGTTTATTTCGGCTATATGTGCTTTGAATGAAGTTTACATGGTAATGGCCGATATTTATCTATCGTCCTAAGAGTATGTCAATGCATGGCCGGTGTAGTATTCTAACATCGTCCTTAGTTTGATTGAAGAGAGAGACAAGGTACGTGCTCATGGAAATTTATATGTATGCCTATATTATGATTGAATGGAGTTGAGACATCATGACCGATGCCATATATGCTGCATAGGCCAATTCATAGTTGCAGAATTGGTTAGTGGGCTTATACTTTGTTTGGATATGATTTGGCTTATGCATCTTTGAGATCTATAAGAGGCCAAATCATAACTGATTTTATTACTGAACATCGGGCATAATGTTGATATTTGCCTTGTCTTTCTAGTACTATGGAGATTATATATTGATGGTTAAATTTGTAGCAATGGCCAAGGTGTTGGTATTGTTTATATATCTCCTCATGGTGCTGTTTTTGAAGCCTCATGCCGCTTAGAATACTTTTGCACAAATAATCAAGCCGAATATGAAGCATTGTTATTCGGCTTAGAGATGTTACTTGAAATAGGTGCTACACATATTGAGGATTTTCGTGGTCCGTTATTAGTAGTGCAACTAATATCCAAAGTCTTTCTATGTTTTGACGAATCACTTCATGTTTATCTTGATAAATGGCTACATATAATTTCGACTTTAGATTATTTTAGCATTGCTCATATATCTAGACATGATAATTGGAGAGAGTTGGCTTAGTAAGCATCCGGCTACCACGTCAGTCATGGTGTATTGCACATCTATCAATAGCCAATGCTTATTCTTGCCAACATAGGTAAGGCCGAATTGGAGCTCACCACCTCGGCCACTAATGAAACTTTTATGCAGGCAAAGTAAGGATTGGAGGAGTTCATTCTTGATTATCTGCAAAATCCTAGCGAAAGGGTGAACAATATGGTTCAGAGGATGGTTTTGATCTATGGAACCTTATCACCAGATTGTTATGGAAGTTGAGAAGTCTTCACCCAAGTTTGCATCAAGAAGTTCACACAAGACATGGCCGATATATACTTATCGTCCTAAGAACATATAAATGGCCGATGGAGTGTTGACATTGTCCTTAGAACAAACTTGGTACAAGTTATTTTTCGGCACGCTAGCTTTGCCGAAAAACAGGGGGCATGTGTTGACGCTCAAAAGTGGCACGATTATAAAGAGTGGCTTGAAGTTGTGTCAAGATTAATTCAAACTTACTATTGAAAGTCACCATGAGATGGCTCTCTTCAAGAAGATCAAGATGAATATGAAGATGGTCTAAAACGGAGCTCGGATGCAAAAGTTATGACAAGTTTAGAGATCCTCATGTCGACACCAGATTAAAGAATGGATAGAAACCCCATTAAGATGGCCTCAAATTGAGAAAGTTTCAACATGAAAGTTGTGTGTCTCGTCGAAGCGATTGATTTTGATATAAAGATCATCCCAATCCGAGGTCGTATGCAAAAGTTAGAGCAATCAAAGTGCAGCCCTGTCACGAGGCGAGATGTGGCGCGCCCCACCAGACACGTGTCTGACGAGTAGCGCGAGGAGATAGTCTGTGTTGCGAGACAGATTTGACCCTCAAGATGATCTCTGATCAAAAACCCTTCAACATGAAATTTGTTCGTCTCGTCGAAACAGTCAAGATTGCTTTTGGGCTTGTTTTCATCCGAGATCGTTTACCACCGCAAAAAGGACCCGCAAGGTGCAGCCAGTTTAAACCGAACAGTTTTGGGAAGTTCGGATAAAACCAGTCCGAATTTGACTAGGGTTTTGGACGTGAATTGATGTAATTTTCTTGTAAGGAAAGCTTAGATAAATCCTTTGCTTGTACGGGAAGTCCAGCCGCCTCTTATATATGTTGGGGGTGACGGCCGATTGAAACAACACACAATCGCAAAATACATCTACTTTTTACCCTAGTTTTACATCCCTCCCTTGTTCTTTCTCTCTCGTTCTTCGCTCGTTCTTCGTGTTGAAGGGCAGCGATCCTCGAGGCTCTAGGGGCGGGCGAACCGACCTAGGGCAGCCCATAGCCGCCGCAAGTCCAGACGGGGTCCCTCCCGGGCGCGTGGGGTTTCGGGTCCTGAAAAGCACCCGCCGGATTGCTTGCGTACCGCGCTTCCGGACGGGTCTCCTTCGACATGAGCTGCGGTGCATCACCCTCGGCGTTGGAGGTACACGGTGACGTGTTCGTGTGCGAACAGCCGGAGAGGTTGAGGTATCTCAATCTCGTCGAAGAGCCCAAGAACTCCGGCATGCGGCCACTTGGGCCCTCGAGGTCATTCATGGTGAGATCAAGGTGCACTAAACGGTCCATGGAGAGTGTAGAAGTGCATGCTTTAGCCAATGCAACCAAAAAACCGATCTAATGGAAGAAACTAGGCAGCACATTATACGTCAACACTCCCCCTCATGTGTGGCTTCCTTAGGCCTAAACATGGACCGAAAGTGGGCTGCAATTTAATTGCGTCAGCCGGGTCTTGAACTTAAGACCTCTTGGCTCTGATACCATATAGAAGTGCATGCTCTAGCCAATGCAACCAAAAGACCGATCTGATGAAAGAAACTAGGCAGCACATTATACGTCAACAGAGAGCAAAGAATTACTTATTTGGCCAACCAAAGCCGTGACGTCTTGGTAGTACCCCTCGAGTTTGTACACATCCAGACGACGAAGATGAAGCCTAAGGACATGGCCGGTCCGGTTGCTGCACTTGACGCCCCTCCACTGACAACAGTCTTCCTTGTCCCAAGAGTCAAGGACACCCATGGGGTCGCTGGTGATGCCGCGCTTGAAGGACAGCAGGGCATCCCTCTCCCGCGGTATGCAGCTTGCGCCTGCCGAACCGCCGGCTGGCCCGAGCTGACGTGCATCGAAGGCCAGCAAGCTGGCGGCAGCTAGGACGCATATGAGCAGGAGCTCGGCAGTGGTGGTATGCATGGTGAGGAAGACGATGGGGTCAGCTCTGTGCCGCTACGAACGGAGTTTATGGCAATTGTGTTAGTCCATGTTTCTGACCGAGTCCATGTCCCTTGCAGACTGGCAATCTGACGGCAACCCTGTGACTGAGCGCAAGTTCACATCAGGAATGGAGAATTCCACAAAATCTCCAAGGCCTGAATTCGTCTACTTGTGACAGTCCACAAGCACCGACGTGCAGGTTAGGCAAGTGAAGAGCACCACATGGTTTAGTAGAGGTGCAGGCTTTTCCTTCCATTTCTCAGCTCACTGAATGATATACTATAAGTGAAGATAATTTCAGGGCAGTTTGACTGTTTCTTTTCCTTCCATTTCAAGTGAAGAATTCTCTACAAGGATTGGAAAACTGGCCCAAATCAGATGAGTGCTAGTAACATTCAGAACCCAGCCGCTGGATCTGTTCAATTCAGTTAGTAGAAGAGGGGAGAGCAGAGGGATGAAGGTGTGCGCGAAAGAGATTTGAAGGCAGGTCACCGGCGGTTGAGGCGGAGGTGGTCGGAGCCGGAGAAGACGGAAGCGCTACTCGCGGCATCTACAATAATTGATCCCCTTCCTCTCCCGCGACCGTGTCGCCCCCGTGGGCGGCCGGTCGCGTCCAGCCTCCTCCCCCGCGCAACTCTCCCTCCCCCTTCCTCCCTGCCGCCGTCGCCGGCACCCGCTGTGGGCCAGGCCCGGGCAACGCTGGTGGCGGCGGCCCCCTGGCCTTTCCCCTCTCGGGCGTCCACTGGCGCGGGACGGGGCGACCCCGGGTGGTGCTTCTAGGCGGCGACGGTCCAGCGCGGCGGCGGGGGCTCCTGGCGCGAGCGGGGGCGAACTTCTGGTCGGCGGCGTCGCCGTTGGCGGCGGGACGACGCGGCGGCGCGGTCTGGCGGCGCCCGCTCGGCCCAGATCTGGGCCCTTCGGGCCCCATCTGGGCCTGGGCGGGCTGACGGCGGGGTGGGTCTGCTTCGTGGCTTTCGGGAGGCGGGGGAGCGGCGATGAGCGGCAGGGTGCTAGCGGCGCCACCGGCTTGCTGCAGCGTGGCGGCGGGGATTAGCGGGCCCGTTTTGGGCCTGGCCGAGCCAGGGGTGGCCTGGCATGCCCTGCTGCCGCGTCCGGACGGCTACCGCGACGGTGCCGGAGGCTCTGGCCTCCCGCACAACGGCGGTGGAGGTGGTTCCCTCTCGTTCGGCTTCGGTGCTGCTTCTCCCTCCGCGGGGCGCTTCTCTCCGGTCCTCTTGGTCTCGTGTGGGTGTTCGCAGTGAGGCGGCGTGTGTGGCGGCGCTACCGCGATGGCGCATGGTGGTGGGCGGCGGTTTGGCTGATCGGCTCCGGTCCGTTGGGCGGTGAGGATTGGAGTACGGGAGAAATCTTTGCCGGTCTTCGGCTCCGATGCGGTGACACCTACGGGTGCCACCATTCCTTCCTAAAGGGTATCGGTGATATCCATCCCCCACCTCCCTCCGCGTGCCGGGGAAACCCTAGGACATGTCCGGGCAGCAGCGTCGTCGGCGTCGCTTTCCTTCTTGGAGGTGCTGTTTTGTTCGCGGTGGTTCGGAACCTCGGGTTGTAGTGGTTTGTCTCTGGTGGGCGTAGTGGTGGCGGGTCATCCGCATTTGTCGAGCTACCGTTGTTGGCATTTGCTTTTTCTTCTTTTTTTTTGGCTTGTTGTGCTGCTTGTCCAACAATCCTGTATTGGTGTTGGTTGCTTTGGAATACAAAGCGGGGGAAACCCTTTTTCGATAAGCGCTACTCGCGGAGTTGACACGGGACGGCGTCGAACGGCCAGCCATGGTGCCGTCCGACCATTTATCCGTGGGCGTAGCAGGCGCCGGCGCCGCAGAAGGCCAGACAGACCCGCGCTTTCTCGGGCGTGCGGTTGACCGCCTCACACGACGGCACGGCCGTAGTCGTGTCCCCGTCCCAACACGCGTGCGCAACAACCACAGCGAGCGAGCGACGACGTCTCCATCGCCTCCTCTAGATCCACAGTGGGCGGCCTTCCCGCCGAAGCCAACGCCGAGAGAGAGACCGTGGAGTGGATGGGTGTGTATTAGGGTGGAGGGAGAAGAAGAACATGGGTGGGGACTGGGAATGACGGCGTGTGGTGGAATAGAAGAAGAAGAAGAAGAAGAAGAGGAGAGATACAATCGAGGTGGGAGTATTTTAGTCACAGTACTTTGAGTCGCTGGCTAGTAGCCCCTACCTGGGCGTAGTGACCTATTTAGGTACAAAAGGATTTTAAAAAGCAGTATAGTTTTTTTTTGCGGAAGAAAAAGCAGTATAGTTTTATGCGAAGAAACTCAAAAAATCATGGATGCGTTGCAGGGTTAAAAAATTCAATAGAATTTTGGCAAAGTTTGCCAAACATTTTCAAAAATATAAATTGTGCATTGCCCATGGTTTTGGGTACCGGGCGGAATATTTGGATATCGCCCGGTAACCGCGTTTTCGCCACCCCACGAGAAACCTTTGTACCGAGTGAAACTTTTTGATTTTTTTTTTGAAATTTTTGAATTTAAACTCCGATAGTTAAGTTAGATAGGCTAGGAACTCATAAAGGACAGGCAGGCAGCTGTGGCGTACTGGTTAGCGTGGGCCTCCTAATTATATCACACAGCTGTTCATTTTATTTTCTAACAATTTTTAGGAAAAAAAAGGAAGATACTGCGAAAAGAAATGTTGTAGGGGTGATTCAAACTAGCAACGTCAAGGCAGGGGAAACACGCACAACAACAATACCACTGCGCCACAGGATGGTTGCTGATAAAATGGAGTCCAGGGCTTATCTATAGTATATTTAAGAAAATTGAATTCAAAATTCAAATTCAAATTTCATCCAAAAAATTTCTGAGATTTCACGGATACCACGGTAACCGAGAATTTCGGTGCCCCGCAAGAAAAAACGTGCACTTGGGATCCAAATCCTTGGCATTGCCAATTTGGCATTGACACTATATATTAATATATGAAAAGGTACTGAAATCAAACCTCGGAAATAAATATTGATATATGCCTTGGGAGGCCGTCGCCACTTGTGTCTTTTTTTTAGAACGAAGGCTCGCGAAAGAGCCCGGCTTTGAATTAACAAAGCCATCAACCGGCCAGGAGTTACAACAGACAACCCAACTTACAACGGTCAGAACGATACAACGGGGAACACTGGAAAGCCTACTCACTACAACCTCCACAAGCCGCAAATGAATTACAGCTAGCAAAGGCCGAGCACTCCATACTAGGATCATATGTAGCAGAAACGGAGCAGCACAGCAGGACATAGCCGACCTTCGAGGATGGACCGTGCTCCAGGAACACCTAGAGAAGAAGGGAACCTACATCTTCCCTCTCAAATCACCGAAGAGGGACCCTTCCCCCTCGCCATGGCTCGTAGGCGCCGAACCGTCGGGATTTCGAGAAACTCACCCTAGAGCTGGAAGAATGTCGCCCTCGCATCGCAAGGTGGACATAGGATGACCACATCGATTTGGGATATACCTCGCCGGCTGCTCCGCCACAGTCCAAGCCCAACTAGTTGTAGACAAGCTTCAAGGAATCGGACGTCGCAGAGGAGGTAGCTCAATCCCTCACCTGCATAACCTCCCGACCGAGCCCCGCACCCTTGACAACGCCTCCAGCAAGGTCGCGAAGCACTAGGCGCCGCCGCCGCCAAATCCGCCAAGGATAAAGGTTTTCACCCGGGCAGGGGGATCGGGGTGGAAAGCAGGGGACCTCGGCTGCGCCCCCATGGAGGAAAGCAGCGCCCTTGGGCGTTGCCGCCGGGCGGCGGCCGGACCGGCCAAGGTTTCCCCCGGTTCCCTTGCTGAACACCAACACGCACCAACACCGGAGCCAGAAACGCTAGCCCACACCGGAGGCGAGAGAGGGGCAGCAGGGAAAAGGGATCTCGCACCTCCAGATCTGACGAAGCTTCACGCCGCGGCCAGATTCCACCAGCCACCCGCCGCCCGCGCGACCGGGCAAGCTGGCCAGCACCCCCTGCGAACGCCACCCACCGCTCGACGACGTCGCCTCTCCGGCAAGGGCCGCCGCCCCAGGAACCACGGGCCTCCAAGAGGGGAAGGAGCGCCGAGATCCCCGCCGCCACCTTCACCGGCGTCCGCGCGGGCTTCCCGTCGGCCGTCTCTGGTAGCGGCGAGGGGGAGGAAGGGGGTGGAGGGGGGTGGCGGCGGCGGCGGAACCCTAGTCGCCCCCGAGTCGCCCAAGGGGACGACGCGAGGGCGGGAGGGGGGGGTCACTTGTGTCTTCATTGGGGGGTGGGGTGTGCGTGTGTTGCCGCCGTGGTTGGTGCGGCGGGGTGGGATTCATGGACAGGGCATGTGCAGCTAGATAAATAGATAGATGGTGAAACCGAGGTGGTCATTTTGGAAGTCAGCACAACAAATGGATGTCCAAAGCTAGACACGTTTCCAGCAGAAAGTTCAATGTATCGCACTTTTCGTTTTTGTCGACACTTCTTCTAAATGAATCAATGAACTAATGGAGCGTTTTGGATGCCAAGCAAGGAATGAACCTAGATAGCAACTCTCCTACCCACATCACAAGTCAGTGCGTTCATCTTCTTCCGACCTCTTTGCTGCTCTCTTTTTTTAAGCTTCAGTTTCGATATGACTCCTTAAACACATCAATGAATTAATCAGATTTGCCCATACCCTTTCTTCATGACAAAGGATATGATGGTAATTTTTAAAAAGTCTTCGCCGCACATAGCCTCGAGCATGACGATACCGATACGCGGACGATTCAGAAACCACTCTCAAGCTTCACCCAAAAACCCGCTCTCAACTTCTCTGCACTTTCTGTGCCCATCACGCCTGTGGAGTCTCTGTAGGGAGGACCTTGCCGTTAGCTTCTCGGCGCCGCGGCATGAGTACATGAAGATACTCTGCAAAGCTACAGGGCAGTGATTCAGGGATGCGTGCCGATCACCGAGCATTCCACATTGTGCAGTGGGCAGACACACA